TCTTTTCACTACTCCCAGTCTTTTCTCCTTTTTCAATTACACGTTTTTCGCTCCAAACTCCCCCTCCCATTTACGCCAGTCAGGCTATTTTGAATGGAATAATGGCATTTGACGCTTTGTTATCCCAAGCCTTACAAAAATGGCCTCATCACTAAAGTATGTAATATCATACGCGCTTGCACTTACGCGCTTTACCCAAGCAAGGTGGAGTTACGTTTGTTGTTACCTTAAGCTGACCGTTAACCGACAATCCTCAGGGTTAGAGGTGGTTCTTTGTGACTTAAATAGTGAAAAAGCTTGGTGGGAATAGACAAGCAAGGCTATAAATGGAGTCCTGGATAAACAAAAGGAATTATTCTCCCAAATGAGGAGCATCGCAACGGCCCCAACCGTTAGAGAGGATGGAAGAAGCCATATATAATCTTGAACAAGGTGTTCGACTGAAAGCCCCATATTTAGCTCTTGGTTCGGAACAAAGTGGCTTCCTGCCAAAAAGGTACAATAGCACGTTCTTCCTCCGTTAGCTTTTACAGAACCTTGGTAACCTATGCTGGGGTTCAAACTAATTTCATTTTAGTTAGCATGATGTTAGATTATGTTTGTTCTGATCATTTTATTAGAGGTGGTGTAGGCATGCAGAGGTGTGGAGTACATCGTGGCTGTACATACCAACAACGGTATAGAAAGGCAAAACGAAACACTAAAGTTCCAGTACCTAGATGGCTACAGGAACTTTTCTTTGAGCGAACTGCTGACAGTTTTGGTGGAATAGTTTTTTCCCTGATTCCTGTGGAAAGTAAGTTGCGCAGCCTTGAGGTTAAATAAGTTGCCACTCTTTTAGTCTTAAAACGACTGAACAATAGTTTTGTTCAGGACTGCGTTAACGTTTTTTTTTTTGGCTTTTCAACGAATATCTGAGGCGGTCTTGTTCCAGCTGGCTTGATACGATTTGAGCTTAAAATTTCAGCGTTTTGAACAATCATTACAATTCTCTGGAAAAGTCATCACGAAATCGACATAGATGCGAGGTCGTTTGAGTTTGAAAACGCATGTAAACATGTGAAAGATGAAAACTCTGCAAACAACCTTCACAGCGAACAACTTGATAACTGGACAAATATCGTTCTTCTTGTGTATCCGGAAGCCATAAACGCATCAGATTGTATGCGTTTCTACAATTGAAGGGATTCGTCTATTTTAACAAATAAATAATAATGATGATGATAATAATAAACTCCTCTAGTTACCCCCCCCGCCCTTTAACACACCCACACTGAAGAAACGCCATCCATTTATTTTGGTACTCAAATAATCTGAATGTTCACTTTAGGTATGTTGACCAAAGCATTAGATGCTCCAGACAATTTGGAAAGTACAACGAGCAGATCCAGAAATTCCTGCATTATCGCCCTAGGGATGTAGTTCAGCATATCACGAATAATTTGCGCAAAACATATCCTCAGTCAGCCAAGAAAATAAAACAAGTGAGCGAACTGGGAATTTTTACGGTTGACGGGGAATAAATGTTCAATTTGAAGATTCAACATACCCACACTGTGACTGCTCTCAGTGGAGGCCTTCCCGTCTGCCTTGTAAACATTTCTGCTTCATTTTCTCATGTATACCTGGATAGGGCTGGGAAAAAGTAACCTCCATGAACCGCAAAAGTCCACTGCTCAGTCTTGACGATATCGCATTAAACGTGACTACCACTGAGAATCAAATGCCAATGGATGATATGCGTCGACACCACCAAATTCCATGTTTCTTGTTTTGTATTCTCACACTATAGTAGCCTTCCACCTGCCTCTCTTTCCTTGCTCCTCCACTTTAATTGTGATTTTCATGGTTATCTAACTCGTTCTCTTTCAACTTGCATAAAATGTCCCTCAGGTAGCAATTTGCTATTAGTTCTCAAGCCCCGATTGTTTGGTCAAGGATATCCCACTGATATCCCCTTGACTGTCCGTAACAGCCAGGTACCACCACTGACTTTAAAAAGAAACTAAAACTTTACTTTTTAAGCCTGAATTGAATTAGCGCATGATTATCATAGTTTATTGTTAGTTTATTTGTCACCAGTACTTCTAGTTTTATCTCTGCTGTAGGACTGCTTGCATTACTTAATTTTAGTTTTGTATCTTGTTTTAGTTTTATAATTTAGTCTTCAATCTTCATTTCTACATAAAACAATTTCTGTCATTTTGACCACGGGTCGTATAAGCCCCCGGCTTTGGCTTTACTGAGTTTGTACTATATGAACGATGGAATAATAAAGTTAAAGTTACTAGCACTACAGAGAATTACATGCATACCAAGTAATTATTGCCTGTGGTTTATGGTTCTTTAGGTGTTTCTGATAGGATTTGATCTCAGATGCAGTTGTAAAGTGTTTTAATTTTCTTTGACCTCTGTTTAAGCCTAAGGCTTTAGTTTAAGCCTAAGGCTTTAATTTAGTATTACGGCTAAATAAAGATTTTAGTTTCTATGGTTTTCTCCGTAAATCCTAGCCTGTGTAGAGACGTTCCCCCTCCCTCAGAAAAAATCGGGGAAACGGGAACACGATTATTGTCGGCGATTCACAGACGTCTCTTCTCCCGAATTTTTCTGAGGGAGGGGGGACGTCTGTACACAGGCTACGTAAATCCTGGATCTGCGGAATAACTTCATGCATGTATGTAAGTTTAATTTGCCCGGGAATGTGATTATTTCTTGCTATGTCCGGGGGGAGGGTACTCCCAGTATGATGGCCTATACGGGGAGGCTGCGCCCGAAATCCCGGAGAGGTACTCAACAAATATTTGTACGGGGAGGCTCCGCCCCGAGGTCCAACCCCTTACCCGTCGAGAAAGCGTTCTATATTTGTGACTGATTCCTATTTTATGACAGTGCGGGTTTCCAGCAGTTAAAACGGATACAAAGTTCTAAGCAAGGTATGTGAAAGGAGTACTATTTTTTAATAGAAGGTACACGAAATTGTGAAAAATAGTATATAAAAGGTTAAGGGGTGGGCCTCCGCCGTATAAAAATTTGTTCAGTATCCCGCCCCTCCCGGGCTGCTATGTCAGTATGACGCTGGGCCCAGCTCATAAGTGTTGTTTCAAGGATTTTGAATTTTCACGGATAGTGAGATCTTCAGATTTGGGTTGTACACGGTAGCTTAAACTAAAGCTACCGGCCAAGTATAGAGAATTATACTCTGCGTGAGTCAAGGTCATTCTCTAACCGCTGATAGCCTGATGCAGTCCATTTAATTTTTTCTGAGATCAGAAGTGAGTATTTAAACACAAAAGGGCGATGTCTTGTTGTTCCTTCGTATTAATTGACTGTATACATTCTGCAAGAATGCAGTTTCTCGTCAGTTGCTACTATGGTAAAGTCCTTGGTGCAGAGAGCGAAACTAGCTGTTTAAATACTAATGGCTATAATCGAAAATACTGATTTGCCATTGGCTGCAAAAAAAAACCCAAACTGAAAATATAAATAAAATATCCTTCCAAATAATCGGGACTTGAGAACTAACAGCAAATATTGATATCTGAGGGACATTTTATGCAAGTTAAACGAGAACGAGTTATATAATCACGAAAATCACAATTAAAGTGGAGGAGCAAGGAAAGAGAGGCAGGTGGAAGGCTATTAAAGTGTGAGAATACAAAACAAGAAACATGGAATTTATAGAGTGAATGGAAGGAAAAAATATAAAGCTTCGAGACCAGGAGGCTTAGAACGTGTTCATGGAGGAGAAAAGGTGATAATTTGCGCGAGAGAGAGAAAAGAAGAAAAATCGATTTGTTCAAGCAGCCTCTCAAGGTCATGTTTCACATTATCACACGAGCTTATGAGTCGCGTTTGGCCTGTCAGACGCTAATTTCTAACTGAATTGATCGTTGTTTCGGTCAGCGTTCGTGAAATAGCGTACACAGTCTCTCAAGAGACAATCCACGGATTCCAACAAATCTGTTGTCGGGGAGCCAACAACCACCACTACTGTGAGAGCAATGAATGAACCAAACCTTGCTCGAAATTAACGCGGCCATTGCAGCCATGATTCAGCTCCATCGTACATGTGGGGATTTTTTGCTGACGGTATAATTCAGTGCCTCTTATACAACGACTTTCTGTGACCCCATACACCACATGCTTGTTTGTAAAGCATATATATCGGCTTTTTTGTGCGCATATATATGCGCATTTGTACCCACAAAGCAGGAAAGAACGCAAGTATACGAGGCAAAAAAACGCACGTATATCGTGTAGCAGGAATGATTGCAAGTATACGTGGGAAAATACCGCACGTATATCGTGTCATAATTTTGAAACAAATGGCCGACCATATGCTCGACCCCGCTCGCCTCAACGCCTTCTCTTTTTACGCCCTGGTTATACTGTATACCTCGGCTTCTTCACGGCACGCTCAGCCTCATTCAATATAACCTGTAACTAATTTGGTTGGACCTGAGGAGAGGGGAAGACGTCTGAGCCTGTCGCCTTGCCGTTCACGTTCTCAAAAAACTTAAAATTTGGCTGTTTCATGTCAAAGTTATGTATAGCCTGCGCACTTAGAGATATTTACGTTTGTCGCTTTTCTTCGCCCGAGCGGACTCATGCAGCGAGGACGAGGTTATAAAGCGGCCCGAAACGCTTGCCACGTAGGCTACATCGCTCCACCACTATAGATATAGAAGTAGATCGGAATTCATTCTTCGCATTCGTAAACTGAAATAAGCAGAACCATTTCAGTTACTTATATTCATAAAAATTCCAAGAAAGTGGCAATAAAAGAATTATAATAGTCAAACGAAGAAATTGCTTGAACAAAATGCCACTGGATCACGCTTGCATGACTGATCAAGAGTTTTCTTGCGGTTTCAAGTCGCATGCCATTGGTGAATAAGCAAATGGCCTGTCAAAATCAAATCAAAGTCTTCACGGTTTTTCGACTTGCACAGATTTTTGCTCAGAATTTGCACAAATTAAACCCCGGGAGAAACCTCCCATAAAAGAGACGTATTTAGTAACGTTGCGCGATCAATCAGTTTATTCTCATGGAATTAAATCCTTTCTTTGTCTATTGATTGGAAACTGTTTGGGCCGTTCATTGACGTGCTGCATGTTGAAATTGCAGTTCACACTTTGAAGAGAGGCTCAAAATGTAACCCATTTTTTCGAATTCTTTGTTCAAATTACACTATTGTGGTACAAAATACTAATATAATTACCCATACTACTCACAACGTCCATGACGAAGACTGCAAAAGAATGAGGTAAAAAAAAAGAAACATTTGAGAGAGGCAGAAAGGAAAACCTGTGAACAGTGAATTTATCTCTTAGGAAGCGAGAAGCACGTTTACCAGAAGACATACAGCAAGTAAATTCTGTGGCGTCAAATTACGGAGTACAAATTGTACCCAACGAAGCTTATCTCGACGGTGACTGAAACACCAGAGCATATTCTATATACGAAAACTCAGATCTGCCGATTAAATCAGATCCAAGTCCTTTGCTAGGTGACTGTGCAGCTTTATTGCTGTTTTTCTGTTATGACATTCATGATGCTCTAGGAGTATCTGGCTGGTTTGTTAGGAATTAATTTTCTAGTTATATTCTCGTCCTGCTGATATCAAAAGCACTCGTCGAGTGCGAAGAGAACTAATTATTATTCGCATTGCAAACGAGCTACCATCATGGCGAAACGTCACAAAATATGAGATCGAACATTCCTCTTAGAATGGATCAACTGAGATACAGTGGACTACCAAAGTCCCAACAACGGGCGAACCCTTGGTTACTAGAAGCACGCGCTTACTCGAACCAAATTTTTTTCCCTGCATTTGTTCCATACTATGCTGCCATTTTTAATACCTTCGATACCTAGATTGAACGCTCCGCTAACTTGAAGTTATCTTATTCTTCTTAATTTATAATCCTCGATAACTCAAGCTCTTTCAAGAATTTAAGTGTAATATGTGTATTATCAAACACAACCGGTATGTGAGTTGTTGTGTTAAAACGGTCGGTGTGAATCACACGAAATAACTTAATGGTTTTAAGAAAAAAGTTAACTCAGGCCTGTCGATGTTAAGGCACAGACACAGAATCTTTTAGATGTATAGGACGCATCTCGACCCGAATATGGTTTTTTGATTCCGAGGTTGGTTGCTCAGAAACATAAATTCATCTCAATTGACCCCGTAGGTGGATAAAGAATAGAATAATGTTTTGTGCGATATTACAGGCATCACAGTCATGATCGCGCTCGTTTGGCTAATTTTGAGCTGCACGCGGTTATTGCCCAAAGCACCTAAACAGCCGTATTCGACCCCCACTTTTGTATAATTTTTTATCGTCTTCTTGTCTTAGACCAGGTGGCTCGTACCAGTTTTCATCCTTTTTTGGCAGTTTAAACATACACAAATATTTTATATTAAGACGGCCATGCCAGCCAAAACTAGCCGTACAAGAATACACTGCTTTAAACATTGCAACTTTCTCAAGGGTGTGAACATTGCTTTCACCGTCACTTGTGAGCATTGAGTAGAAAGTCCTTCAAATTAGGATATCCAATAAACTCAAAAAAGTCATGCAGCGCTTTTTTGACAATTTTGGTGAATTATTCAGTACATTAGTGGCTTCCCCACGACCGACTTTCTTGGAATATACTGTTATTTTACTGATCCATTTGGTGGACTTTGTCTAAGTGCTCCGGTTACACTAGTCACGCTGTAAATGGTACGGCACTTTTCTTTCCTGCATGCGTTCAAAATTTAAAAAGCACCTTTTTTCTCCCGTTCTTTTGATATCGGTTTCCGAAACCAGTCGATAGAAATCGTTAAAGAGAAAAGTTTTGAGCACGATTAATATCGGTCTTTTATATCTAAAGATATTTATGGAGTTCAACATTATACACTTAATGTCAGATCCCGTGGGAAACAGTTAGTCTTGTTTTCCCGAGAGTCCTGATGTTTCCTGAGACGAAACATCAGGACATCAGGGGCGCTTTCCATTCAACAAAAATTCCGGTTTGAAATTTCGGAAACTTCACGTGCTCAGTGGAACGGTACATTCCAATTGCACAAACCCGACCCAAGCCACCGCGCGTTTTGTTATTGTGGCTTCGCAGCACACTCATAATTACGCTCTAAAAGAGAAAAGTGAATACCGTTTATATCCTAAAGAACACTCGACTGTCGAAAAGGGGCGGTGGAAAACTAAAGGCAGAGGAATCCTATTTCGTGTAAAAAGCCTATGAATGCAAGTGACGGTAAAAAATTCTTGTGAATCGAATCGATACGTTTCTCAGAATATTCGAACGATTCGAAGCAATTCCTGGAGCTGTGCGGTAAATAAATTCGGTGTTTAGCCAATTTGTATTCAGCCAGGCTTTGTTGTATTGATTTTAGCTTAATTGATAAATTGCTTTAGTTAAATATCGTCGACAGGTTTCAGATAAATAAAACGCTGATTCTCACGGACTTTTATACAATTGTACCTTGATTACACACACTTTTTTTCAGGTGAGGACAAAACATGGACCAGGGGTACATGGACCCCCTCTTTGGACCGGGTCCATGGACCACTTTCATGGACCGGGTCCATGGACCCCTGTCATGGACCAGGTCCATGGACAGTTTTTTTTTATTTTTATAAGAAGGTTTTGCACCAGGTCCATGGACACTCAAAAACAGAAATAGTGCCAAAAAAAGATTTGACGAGACGCTGTCGACCAATGCTCACGATTGATCACAAATATTTAGTTGTGCTTACATGACATACACTCTGCTTGCACATGTGCAGTCGCAAGACTGTTAAATTAAGCTGATTCAAAAGTTATCACCAAGAGAGGAATTACGCGCCCCAGTACAAAGACACTCATCACCCTTAGAAAAACAAGCTGGAGTTAAGAATTCATTGCTTTTAGAGCAATCATGACTGAGTCACATCGCAATTCTCCATAGTTGATGTAGCTTCAGTTTAAGCTACAATCCCTGCCACTTCTTCTTCTTCAAGATCTGGATCTGTAAATCACTATCCGTGAGAATTTATGATCGTCCTGCTAAAAGAGCTAAGGAGCTGGGCCCAGCGTGACAAAACATTGCAGGAAAAAGTGACATTCATGGACAAAAAGAAAGTAGCTTAGAATTATTCAGATCCAGGATGCACTTTGGAGAAATTAAACAACCTAAAACCCTTTTGATCAGCCGCAATGAACAGCTTTACATTTTAAAAGAGGTAGAAAATCAATATGTGTGTCACGACCTCTCGGTATGAAATAAGCGGCAAAAATTCACTTTTGCCCAGTCAAAAGGTTTTCCTCCGAAGCCTAATCTACCCATCAGAGAAAACAATTCATTGGAACTAGCAGCATTTTGGCATGAGGTACCAACCCCCCGCCCTTTTTTTTTACACTATGTAAGCACAATTAAACATTACTGATCAATCGAGCATTGTTTGTTGTTGCTTTTGTTTTTTAACCTTATTTTTGCACCATTTGTTTTTGTTCATTTCTCATTATTAAAAAAAACTGTCCATGGACCCGGTCCACGACAGGGGGTCCATGGGCCCGGTCCATGAAAGTGGTCCATGGACCCGGTCCAAAGTGGGGATCCATGGACCCCTGGTCCATGTTTTGTCCTCACCCCTTTTTTTCACCTACGTGTCGTGTTGCGTCAGTTATTTGACAAAAATCGAAAAAAATTGCAACTGATTCAAACTATTTGAGATGTCATGCTTTACTCACAGCACTTCACTTTCCATTGGAAACTACTTGGTCTTGTAAGCAGGATAGAAAAGAGCGGTACTGGGGACAACAATTCTGGCAAATGGAAAGGGACAGTTCGGTCCGACCGACCGAAATGACCAGACCGGTCACAGTGGACCACCTTCAAAGCTGGTCCCGAATATTCCGGTCGGACCAAACCGAAATGGTCCGGTCCATTTGATGAACCAACCGAAATTTCCGGACTTTTGGGTTGAATGGAAAGCGCCCCAGGACTCGAAAGTGAAAACTAGCAGTGTTTTTCCCACCTTCTGTCACGCCACTTTCCACCATTTTTTGATCCGGCGTGCTGTAATGTATCCCGAGCAGGGTACAATTGCTCAAGTGTATCTCGATCGGGATACATTTGATTTTATTCAAGGCCATGTGACCAAGCTTCAGCCAATGGCAGTCCCTGTTTAATTGAGCGAAAGTCTAGGAATATTACAAATAAGAATATGCTACCTGTATGGCTTTATTGAGTCATACAGTCATCGCTCTTATAATCATCGATATCAATACTACGAAAACGAAAACGGGACCAAATTGCCCTGTGTTTGGATTTTGCAGTTGATGTCTCGCCGTGGTAACTCCATAAATTAGAGACCTTTAGCATCAGGTTTTTCATGGGAAACCGCAAACCGCAGTTTGCAGTTACGGGTTTGCAGTTTCACGTTGCCGAGATTTCAAATTTTAGCAAGTCGTGCAGTTCAGTTCAGTTTATTTCATTCTTATTTAGCCAAAATATTTAACAATTATTCCTCGAGCCCGAATGGGCTCTGAGTCAGTAGCCCATGAGGCCGAAGGCAGAATGGGCTACTGACTCAGAGGCCATGAGGGCGAGAGGAATAATTGTTTTAGTAAAATCCAACTAGTTGGTCAAAAGATATCGAGACAAAACAACTTTAGCTAGATAAAGCTAGACTTTAATCCTTTTTTGCCGCCAAAAAGCCGGCGCTTTTCGCTACTAGTGGGCTATAACATTTAGCCTAGTAGTAGCTCAACCAATCAGAACGCAGCATTGTTGATAGACTACTAGTTGGATTTTACTAAAATACAATACAAGAATACATATAGGAATTGCAAGTTGGCAAGGGAGCCCAGAAGAAACCAGAAAGCTTATGAAGCCTGGGCTCCCCAGTTACAAAGAAATACTAAAGTAAAATAAAATGAAATTCCCTGAGTGATACGTTAAATATAGGAACTAAACAGAGACTTTTTAAGTAATGAATTCAGTAACAAGATAGATAAAAATTTTTAACTCTGGGTTGGAACAGAAAACTCTCTTATGTTATTACGGCAGGAGTATAAAATCGATTTGAACTACGAGTTCATTGTTTAGTGCCTCCATGTTGTTTTTCATCAAGTCGAAGTGCATCACTTTTATCGCTCAAAAACAGGAATAATTCATTGATTCAAGATCAAAAATCCAACAAACACATCGCAAACGGATTTAAAAAGCTACTTCGTGCCTTTAAATGCGAGACTGTACAATTTTTAGTGCCAAAAAACCTTGCCGTAAATCACTTACCGCTAGAAGCCCTTCCTGCGGTTCAAACGTGAACTGCAAACTGCAAACGTGACCGCAAGGCCGTAGTCACGTGACATTTTGGGGTTTACGGTTTTCCATGAAAAACCTGATGCTAAAGGTCTCTAATATGGGTAATAACCCCCGGGTAATAACAAACAGCCAATTCTTTATTTATTTATTTATTTCTCTCAGTCGCCCTAAGTAACAAAGAATTAAAGAACAGCTGGCTCTTTACGAATTGAATCTTTTGCGGTTTTTGCTTTCAAACACACACAAATTCACCGGAAATTTTATCATCTTTTACTAAATACCTTTCAAAGGCGCTCCAATGAAACACCTGCTAAACGCGAGCCGTTTTCTTCATCACATCCTTTTCTGTTTACATGGAGATTAACCGTCATAGTGTTTCCCAGGCTCTTTTCGGCCTTTTATTGGAAGTAATGAACCCTGGGCCATGGGAATAACTCTTTATTTTTTGTGTATCTTACTGTCTGATCCATCGATCTTGATTTTAGAGCCGTCTGAAACACTAATTTATTATTTACTAATGTTTTCATAGTTAGAATCATGTTTTAAAATCCTCTACAACAGAAACAATAACATATTTCTTATTGTAAAGCAAAAGTTGCGTGTTTCATTATATCAAGAAAGTAATGAATTTAGTTCCAATCATTACGTTTCATTAACATTCCCCTGTGCAGGACTTGTGGAGATATATATAAACTAGACACCCTACATATGATCTTTAGCTCGCACCTCCACGAGTGGGGTTGATGGTAACTTCCCACCCACGCCTTCCCTAACGCAACATTCACATCGATCATTGAACTGAAATACTTATCACTTAAGAAAACTGTTGGGTTAGGTAAGGAGAAGATGAAAAGTTGCCCAGAATAGCGAACTGGCCCTGACAAATCACTAACGTAAATTTCAAGAAGAAACCAGTCCTCTTGGTTGCAGTGTGAACTCAATGTTTTTTTTTTTGTGAAGTTTTATTGAGATTTAAATGCAATTTGACCACATGGCTATAAAAATAAAATTAAAAAAATATTTGCAACAAACTTGTCACTAACGCTCTTCAGCTGTCCTTCTAGAGGGTATGATTTAGGCACAACTCTCTGATAATGCACTATAACGTCCGCCATCTTGTTTTGTCTCTTGGTACTGATGCCCAGACCCTTGCATCACAGCTACAATCGGCGACAAAATTGTTGAGACATTGTACTTAAATAGGGTGACTTCGGAGAACAAAAGAATCCGCACCCCTCCCCTGTCCCCTCCATTCAAAGTTGGGGTGTTTGTTGTTTTCTATAGGTAGCTAGAACAAGGGCACAACATTGCACTGAGGGGATGGGGGAGGAAAGCTATACTTCCTCCTTTTGAAGTTCATAAAACGTAAAAAAGCCCACTTTTGACTTTTGGGCGAAGTGTCTCAACTCATTTTGTAGCCGATTGTAGATCGCTCGACCCCGCTCGCCTCAACGCCTTCTCTTTTTACGCCCCGGTTATACTGTATACTTCGGCTTCTTCACGGCACGCTCAGCCTCATTCAATAAAACATGTAACTAATTTGGTTGGACCTGAGGAGAGGGGAAGACGTCTGAGCCTGTCGCCTTGCCGTTCACGTTCTCAAAAAACTTAAAATTTGGCTGTTTCATGTCAAAGTTATGTATAGCCTGCGCACCTAGAGATATTTACGTTTGTCGCTTTTCTTCGCTCGAGCGGACTCAGCGAGGACGAGGTTATCAAGCGGAAACGCTTGCCACGTAGGTTACACATGCTTCCCTGTTCGTTCCACCAATCTAGATATAGAAAAATGAGAATTCTTCTTTGCGCTCTTAAACTGAAATAAGCAGCTACTTATATTCATAGAAATTCCATGAAAGTGGCAATAAAAGAATTATAAAAGTCAAACAAAGAAGTTGTTTGAACAAAATGCCACAGGTTCATGCTTGCATGACTAATCAAGAGTTTTCTTGCGGTTTCAAGTTGCATGCCATTGGTGAATAAGCAATTGGCCTGTCAAAATTTGCACAAATTAAACCCCGGGAGAAACCATAAAAGGGAAGAATTTGGTAACGTTGCGCGATCAATCAGTTTATTCTCATTAGTGGAATGCAATCCTCTCTTCGTCCATTGATTGGAAACTGTTTGGGCCGTTCATTGGCATACTGCATGTTGAAATTGCAGTTTAGACTTTGAAGAGAGGCACAAAAGGTAACCCAATTTTTCGAATTCTTTGTTGAAATTACGCTATTGTGGTACAAAATACTAATATAATTACCCATACTACTCACAACGTCCATGACGAAGACTGCAAGAGAATGAAAAAAAAAAAAACATTTGAGAGAGGCATGCGGAAAGCAAAACCTGAGAACAGTGAATTTATCTTTTAGGAAGCGAGAAGCACGTTTACCAGAAGACATACAGCAGATAAATTCTGTGGCGTTAAGTACGGAGTACAACTTGTACCCAACGAAGCTTATCTCGACGGTGACTGACACACTAGAGCGTTTTCTGTACACGAAAACTCAGATCTGATTAAACCAAATCTAAGTCCTTTGTTAGGTGAGTGTGCAGCTTTATTGCTATTTCTCTGTTATGACATTCATGATCCTGTAGGAGTATTTGACTGGCTTGTTAGGCAATGATTTTCTAGTTATTTCCTCGTCCGTAGTAACTCCATAAATATGGGTAATAACCCCCCGGGGTAATAACAAACAGCCAATTCGTTTTCTGTACACGAAAACTCAGATCTGATTAAACCAAATCTAAGTCCTTTGTTAGGTGAGTGTGCAGCTTTATTGCTATTTCTCTGTTATGACATTCATGATCCTGTAGGAGTATCTGACTGGCTTGTTAGGCAATGATTTTCTAGTTATTTCCTCGTCCGTAGTAACTCCATAAATATGGGTAATAACCCCCCGGGGTAATAACAAACAGCCAATTCTTTTTTTATTTATTTATTTCTGTCAGTCGCCCTAAGAAACAAAGAAAGAACAGCTAGCTTTAGGAATTAAATCTTTTGCTGTTTTTGCTTTCAAAGACACCCAAATTCATCGGAAATTTTATCATCTTTGACTAAATACCTTTTAAAGACGCTCCAATAAAACAACTGCTAAACGCCAGCCGTTTTCTTCATCACATCCTTTTCTGTTTACATCGAATTTGACCGCCATAGTGCTTCCCAGGCTCTTTTCAGCCCTTTTTTAGAAGTGAAAAGCCTATTTGTTGACGTTTGTCAGCGTTGAAGAGTCAATCTCACGAAAAAAGCATTTTCTTAAAAATTCGTAGTCTTTTTTCCTTCAAATTTTTTCAGGGCCACAATTGATTAACTAACTACCCAGACTCTGAATTTCATGGTCATTGAAAAACTGTGACATTACCTTCTATAAGCCCAAACTTGATTAAACATTGAAGATCTTTAGCGTTTTGGCTGAGTTTGTGCTTTGGGAGTTGTCTATTGTTTTTAGTCTGTCATTATACAGCATCCTTGTTCAGCACGCGTGCAATGACCACGCTTGGCTGACTTCCGAATGCTCACCGAGATACCGTATGATAATTTAGTATAAGAAAATAGAAGGGATTCCCGTCACGAGTTGGTTTAATTATTGGCTTGCATTAAACCTATGAAAAAATGATATTTTTTTAATAGTAAGTAGATTTAGTGTGTAGCACTTCTTGATTCTTTTGCAAAGGCACAAGAAGCGCGAGAATTGATTAAAAATTGTGAGTTAAACCTCTATGTATCACGCGATGGCCTGTCTCACTGTACCAAAATTATCATATCTCGGTGAGCATTCGGAAGTCAGCCAAGCGCGGTCATTGCACGCGTGCTGAGCAAGAATGCTGTATAATGACAGACTAGAAACAATAGACAACTCCCAAAGCACAAACTCGGCCAAAACGCTAAAAACCTTCAATGTTTACTCAAGTTTGGGCTTGTAGAAAGTAATGTCACAGTTTTTCAATGACCATGAAACTCAGAGTCTGGGTAGTTAGTTAATCAATTGTGGCCCTGAAAAAATTTGAAGGAAAAAAGACTACGAATTTTTTTAGAAAATGCTTTTTTCGTGAGATTGACTCTTAAACGCTGACAAACGTCAACGAATAGCGAAAACTATCATTTCTATATGTTTGCTTTGCTCGAAATCGCGCGCATTTACAAGGCCCTAAATTGTTTTGCTGACTTGCAAGGACCCATCTGTTATAACGATGCCCAAAATAAAGAGATGAATCTCATAGTTTATTAGATATAATCTGCGTAAAGTTTGCTTATCATTTTCGCATAAATTATGACCTAAATTTGGAAACCGCTGAATTTCTCGAATTGGGTCGTTGCGATTTTGGTGAAACTTTGTTCAGCGCAAGGCACTAATGCGTACTATGTGTAGCCGAGAGATTTTCACGAACAAATACCGGCAACAGCAGATTTTCGACTCAGACCTCAAAGGGGCGTGGCATTATAGCCACGTGACATTTACTCCGATCGCCAAAAATTTTATGTTATATTGTAGATTGATCTATATGTTATCCATTCTATGTGTTAGACTTACGATAAAAGTAAAGGTGGGGATACCAGAGAGCTTCAAAGTAGGATGGTACCCCCCTCAAAAACTGGGTCGAGTCACCTTAAAAGCAGATTACTTGACAATTAATGAATGAGGCTGAGTATCTTATGAAGATTTATGGATGGAGATCCGAGATCTCCTTAATTCTTCATATGATACGAAAGCCGAATTCAATAATTGTTTTATTATTCATTTACAATAATTCCTAGTTTAAAAAAAATAGCTAAAACATGCTTACCTCCATCGACCCATCGTTGTTAAGTTCATCTTCGATAGTGCACATTTAGGGTTGTTTAGCTCCGCAAATATTCTCCAAATAGCTGATGTCGCTCTGCGAGTTGTCTTCTTGCTGTTCTTGCCATGTTTTAGCTATTATTTCGCCTAGTTCTTACTCTTGAAACGAGTGAAATGTCCGCCGTTTTTGTTTTCACAACCAAAACAACTCAACCTCGTCCACAGGTCTTCTCGGTTAACGGTGCATTAACCTGCAAAAAAAGCAGCACTTTTGACGTCATCGACTCATTAATCGCAAAATTCTTCCCAATTTGGTCATCAGTATCTGGTGATTGTGAATTATGCGTGTGCTTTAAGTCAATCAGAATCGAGGAAATATTTTGAATGAATAATAAAAGCCTTTATCTGACTCCGGATAGTTAGTTAATGGTCCCTAGAAGCATTCCAACGAGTCCAAATTGAAAATGCCCCCATCTTTAGAACATATATTCAGTAACCTGACTTTGTGAAGTTTCAAACCGGAGTCACTTCAGTCTAGAAATTTTTAAGTTGAGTGAAGCAACTGCGAGAGTCTGCCTGCTTAAGGCTTACATAAAAACGTAAATAGGTAGCAAAACACTACTTTTTTCTCGGTCCGATAAACGAGAGTTTCGCATGGAATAGACAACAAACTAAATTATCACCTTCTTATCTGCAAAAACCGGCCTATGGTTCAATGCTATTAGAGCCCGCTGAAACTAGACCTACAATCATGGACAAAAGTCTTGGGACACTTTTGCGTTTCCGGGGCGTTTTCCAATTCACACAGGTCCAACCCCTCCCCTCACCCCAAAAACAATGTTGGATGCGTTTTTCCAGAATTTTTTCCGAGTTTCAACTTTGTATAGGGCTGGGGGAGAGAGAACTGTAAGAAGATTTCGAAAAGGATACACTGTTTTAAGAGGGAACCGAGAAATAACAGAAAAATATGAATATTGCAGCACTGTTCCAAGAACTTTTGTCCAGGATTGTAGAGCCAATTTTCCGGAGTCAGAGTTGCTTTTAAAAGGTATAATCAGCCAAGCTAACACCGACGAAACGTTTTTATGGCTGGCACAGAATATTTTAGCGAAACTGCAGTTCAACCACGCGATCACATACCTGTCAACACCATGCGGAAATCACACCATCGCACACTTTCGCCGCATTGATAAGACTATCCACAACCATGCATAATCTTCTTACCTTTAACACAGGCGAAATACCATCGAATAACTCGGAAAAACTCAGCCTATTGGTAGATAAACACCTCTGGACTTTTCTCTTAGACTCGTCTTTTTTAAGTCCCCGGATGTAAAGACACACGGACGGCAGACCAGCATAGAGCCCGTTTTCACACCAGAAAAAAACTGAGTCTTGGCCCGAGTCAAAGTTAACCTGCAATTTTACTCTCACCTAATTCATTTGACTCCTAAGAGCCTGTTCCCGAGGTCGAAGACTTAGTGGTCGCCTTAGAAAAGCGAACAACATCGTACCTTTCTGTCTCAGCCCGGATCAGGGTAATTGATCCGTTTAGCCAAATGAGACGAGAATGTAATACGATATTGGACGATACAGACTCTGCGAATCGCAATTAACTTTGTCCCATCTCAAAGCTTTACCTGATGCTCTCCGGGAAACGTTTCTCAAGGTGACCATTATCTTAAAGTAAACTGCTACACTGCACCGAAACCAGCTTAAGGCGCGCACTGGTTTCAAATATCTGTTACTTGTATTAAAGAGAGAATTGTGTTTAGGGACGAAATAAAATTGGGAAGGATGGAGGGGGGGAGGGGGTGGGGGGTAAGATAGTAATTCTGCCTAAATCCACTTCTACACGAATCCCTAACAACAAAACAAGCAACAAAACACATAAGCAAACAACACAGTAGACAAGCTATTAGACAGGGCAAGTTGAGAAAAATTACAAAATGTTTGCTAACCCGCTTTTCATAACTCCAGTAGAAGTAATTTAATATGCCCATTTCGGCAGCCAAATGTTTTTGTCAATGACACTCTTGCGTTGGCATCCTTAAAAAGGATCTCACGCAAGAGTGTCACTGACAAAAACATTTGGCTACCAAAATGGGCACATTAAATCACTTATATTAGCCACGATTTCTGATGTTTTCCCAAAGAAAGAGAAACCGGCCAACCAATTACCGAGTGGAATATGCTAGATGGTTAATGGACTTGACTTGACTTACTAAAGTCAATAAATACCATAACCTATGGTAGATAGTAATTCTGGACTCCTTCAAGGATTCGACTCAGTGCCAGCATATACGTTATAGTAGATATCGACCTGGACAAAAGCCATTCTGGTTATATCGCAGACATGAATCTATTTTTGAGCTTATACGATTTTATAATATTCTTTTATAAATTAGCTTGGCGAATATCAATGTTCAGCTGATACATATGTACTTTTTCCTGTGTCGCCTAAGTTCCCAGATTTGGGGATTGGTTTTAAGGGGTGACGCAAAAACACTGACCCCCAGTCCATGGGCCTCCTTGCTGATCTGGTCCACGGACCACTGTACGGACCGGTCCACGGACCCCCCAAAAAAGACAATAATAAAAATGACAATTAGAAATTCGACTTACCGTTTGTTTTGTTTTTTGTTATTGTTGCCTCCTTCACTGTGGCGATGAAAGGAGGACCTGCGTACTTCGAAAGAGACCGGTTTTTCATGTGAGCCCGCGAGATGGTCATGTGATATTTGTCAGTGGATGCCTGATTTTGACAGCTGTCAATTCATTTTAATATGGATGGCGTCAATGAAGAGAGGATCTTTATCCTCTCTTGATTGCGTATTTAACTGAAGGGGTAGTGTCAATTTGTGTACGTAGTAAATGTGACATTTGACATCAGCTTACATGTTCAGTTTGTACGCACGAGCGACTTTCGGGCGTGCCCTGTCGTCATAACCTAATTTTTTTGGATCAAATAGAAGTTCCGCAATAAACAAATCTCGTAAAGAAAAAACGTCGCGGTGGAAAACAATTATGCCAGATCGGCGCCTCGGCAATTTATTCCAGCTACCACGCCGGCGTATCTCTAGAAAGCGGACTCCAAGTGGAACGAATACTGTTATTTTTTAAGAAGCCTTTTGCGCGCAAACTAATATATTTTGGCACGAAATAAAGATAAACAAAATGTTTACTAAAATTTAATACACGAAAAGAAAATGTTACCACTTTCGAGGAGCGCGAAATATTAAATGGGATTAAGTCGTCTTAGCTGCCCACAATGCTTACATCTCTGGGTGGGACTGGTACTGGACGTCCAGGAAAAACACTCTGTGACCTCCCATGTTCAACAATAAAACGTCATAATAAACGTCAACTTACGCCATTGTGTAAATCACATTTTGCCAAGATGATGAAAGTGATGAGTACATTTGTACTTCGTAATTTTGGTGGCCTTGTCATGAGCGGTTTTGAAGCTACAGAAGGGGAAATCCGAAGAACTTTCCTGGACAATGGAAGCGGTCTTAATTGGATTTAGGGACTTGTCAGAAATTAGCAGGGGGGAGGGGAGGTGGAAAACAGGGGAGGTTTGCAGTCTTTTGAGCCCTTCAAGAGGGAGGGTTATGAAAAAAAAAATGAGAGCAAAAGAGGAAGGGTTACAAAAAAATAAGCCACAACGATCGTCAAGGGATGCTTCAATATTATCAATATTATGACATGCAATTATTTCCTGACATACAGTTCAACCTCCATTAAGTGGCCAGAGCCACCTTTTGGTCATCTTAACGAGAGTTTTGTTTGTTGTTACCTCTATCAAACAGCCAAGCATTAAGCGCTTGATACACATACTTTGGCTTTATTTCAAGAATACGATGACGGAAAATACTGTCCGAGATAGAAGTTGACGACCGCCGTGTGGACCAGTAATACTACTCCCGTTGAGTGTTTGTTTCAAAATAAAGTGATGTTTCTGCAAAAGATTACTACCAATTTAAGACGAACCTCTATTGAGCGGCCAACCTCCATTAAAAGGCCACTTGCCAGTACCTCCAGGGTAAAAACCCAACTTATAAAACTAACAGCTCATGATTTGCATTTGCACGTCAACATCTCAGAAGAACTACTCTCTCTCTCACGGCTTCAAAATCAGCAGTACTCCCTTCGTGAATATCATCAACAACAATGCTATCTCCATCGCAATCATCACCATCATTCTCATCATCTTGTCCACCATCACTATCACCATCCTCCCGTTCTGTCTAATCTTTATTTTGTTTAGCTTTCACCGTATGAGATCACTTCCGCGTTTTTAAGTCAATCTCAGAGAAATTCCGTGGACAATATTAATAGAAAACAAAAAATCGTCTTTACTGAAATTTCATAAATATGAATTGTCAGGAAAATCTATGGTGATGGATATGACAAAAGTAGTAAGGTAGGGTCCAAAATATCCTTTTTGCGGAGAAATACATTAAGACAAATGGCGTCATACCCTTTTGAATGAAATGAGGTGGAGTGTCATTAAGATAAGATCATTTGTCATTTTCGGTTTTTTGGCCTCTTTGACAGATCGATCAAGATCGATAATTTCATAGTTTACTCTCAATTATGTGCGTCACGGCCTATTGGAAAATGATAATCTCATGGATTATTTTAAGGTGTAGGGATAGTGTCCTTATAATTTTCATCATCAGAACAGGTGTCACTATTTTTTTGTAGTTTTTTTATTTTTTTGTAGTGAAATCTGCCAGGTTTATAACTACAAAAGGCGGGCTTTGTACTTATTAATCGTAAAGGACGTCATTTACGATTAATAATTATGTCAAACATAGTTAATAATCGTGAAAATCACGATTAATAACTACGTTTGACAGGCTTCGAAGTTAATAATCGTGAAATTTACAGAGCCCCATACTCATAGATTATGGTCAACCTCTTTTCGTTTGGTTGTCACGTGATTGACCGAGCGTACGTAAGTACGTACGTACGCGTCTACGAATTGTGCGGGTGGGGTAGGGGAGACTATCAAAATGAAGGGAGGGGTGTCTCAGGCGTGTCTTGCCAAGTCCACATCTTTTACATTGAACATTCACAATATGGTCAATTGACAGCTGTCAAAACAGAATAGCCACTGACTAGTATCCCATGACCGTATCGCAGGCTCATGTGTCAACTCATTGAGGTGACGTGATTTATTTGGAAGCTGTCCGCTGACCAGTTAATTACTTTATTAGATCGCGATCAATGTTCAGTCTCATACTTTCCAGCTAGATTGGGATCGGAGCACAGGAAAACTGATACACATATTGGACATCAATGTTGTGATCAATTACCTTGAGGGGTCGACACCTGAGCCCGCGTTACAGTCAGGTGATATCGGTCAGAGGATACCCTGTTTTGACAGCTGTCAATTCATCACAACATTGATGTGCAACATGTATTCAATATCAGTTTTCCTGTGCTGTCAAACTAGCTAGAGAGTGAGAGATTTTCATGTGGTGCGGAGGGACGGGCGGTGTACGGTCACGTGATTACCAAATTTTCTGGGAGGAATAGATTTACTTAGCTATGGGGCTCCGCTCGCGCGGGCCTTGCGCGCGAGGAGCTCCGCTTTGATATTGTAAATGCTGGTAAAAGCGAAAAAGAATGGAAAAAAGCTTTGAAATGTCGGACTGGACCAAAATAGATTGCGTATAATTAGGGTACTTTTAATATTAATAATCTACTTATTTTTAATATAGCCGGTCAGTAAATATTGGATACGAACTTTAATTCTTTTTTGACGAGTCTATCATTCGTGGATACCAGGCAAATGATTCAGTATTAATTTAACATTCTAAACTGTCAAGATCGTTTCTACTAGTTGTCTATAATGTGTTTCCTGTATATTAACTTGTAAATTTATAAGTGAAAATCACATATCAATCATATAGCAAACGTCCCAGTTTCGCTCCTTGAAGTACACTAGTGCAGATGGAATATGATTCAGAAGCAAAGCTATTTACATAACCTGCTGTTTCCTGATCCATAAGTAAGATCGAAACCTAGTTCTTTCTTGCTTTGTTGTAGTCCATTATACTTGATAAAATTTGAAGATTCCTGTATCAAAGACCTTATATAGGTATCAGAAGAACAAAACCACATAGGGTCCTTGACCAAGAGATAAAGTACAATAGGATCAATTGAAAGTCAGAGGGTGTATAGCCTGTTCTGAACTTTTATTGATTGATATGAATGATGTTTTCATAACTCATGAACTGTTAAAAAATACCAGCTTGTTACGTGTTTTTTTATGTGTGAGAGAATTGGCGTTTTATTAAGTTAAAGGTGCTGGATAATTTTATGAAGGAATTAGATGCTCAACAAATTGCATGTACATGTATAATACTTTGCAGAAAAGTGCACACTGTATTTAAACTCTTAGGAGAAATACTAATCTAGAGAGCGTCAAGCAGAAGCGATATCAAAACCCAGTCTATCATCTTAATTTTTTGACTCGCATTAGTAAATGTGTCGTACAATAAGAATACTGTAAGATATGATAAAGAATGTCATCATGTGGTTGTTAGTACGTTTGTTATCATCATATATAGTAGCCATTTCTATTATAGTTACACAGCATCTGGGCAGTTAAAAAATTTAATGAAAGATATTTCTAGTTATAAATCTTGTTTTACAGTTGCTGCACGCGATGAAGGTTGCTTTAAGATTAATGAGCTGTCTTTTGGCATTGACCTCACTTCATACGTTAAAAGGAGCCAATGCTGGTGAAGGCAGACACGTTATCCCAACATCTGACAAAAACTGTGCTGGTTATGACCTCGAGGGAAGAATCCATGACCTAGCAGCTCTCCAACGAAAGGACGGACAGCCGAGGTAAATTCAGACATTATATACTGAAAAGAATAGTAAATCCAGTGTTCAAAAGTTGGGCCAATTGCAATCCACCAAGATTAGCATTATTTACCATTAATACAAGGGATTGCAAGCAGGGAAGTGGACCGAACTGAAAATTAGAAGGAGCACAAGATCGATGTTTTCAAGTTTGGCTGCTTGTGCTATTTGAGAAATTTACACATAAGTCACATAAAAGCACTTTGAGAATTTAGTCTTTGAGACTGATAAAAAGTTGAAAGTTTCAGTAAATATCATGGGACCTGGATTTTATAGGTATAATTCCGTTAAACACTAAGGTCGAGAATGAGCATACACACACACACACACACACAAAACATAAAGCATACATAAAACTATTTATTTTGCTCGTTAAAGAAAAAAATATATACTGGGATAATAAAATGTGGAGAATGAATGAAAGATGTTCTCTTTCGCAGTTGTGCCCCTAGTATTTTGATCTATTTCCATACACCAACATGCATCACTTGCGTTTGTCCAACAGGTTCTGGGTGGTTTCAGGTGGTTTGAACTATACTTATAATCCCTGTAGACCATTCTCTCAAGGGACGACACAAGCAAGTGACTGTTTCGGAGATGTGGCTGTAAGTTGTTTAACTTACTAGTAACAGAAAACTTTACATTGAAAACGTTGCCCGCGTCTCGTGGTTAAACTTGAGTTTTAACCATGTTTACGTGGAACGTTTCGCCGTGAAAACGTTAGATTTTCATTCCTTTGACGGTGTGAAATTAACTTATATCGACTCAGTTTATAAAACCAAATGTAAGAAGGTTCAATGTTTGATTAGCAATCAGGGAACTTTCACCGTGCTAATACATTATATCAATACAGGCGGCATCTGTATTTGTGATTTCGTCTGTAAGATGGTTTTCTTTTCTCCAAATCAGGTTTGCATGGGTGAGGTAAACAAAGCACAGTACCAACTGATTGGTACGCAAAGCTCATTCCATTATGGTTTCAATAAAGAGAGCCACACACCAAAGCTTGTCTATACCAATAAAGAGTAAGTTGTTGTGTTTCTTTCTTTTATTAGATTAAACCCAGTCCTAAATCTGATTTGTAAGGTTCAGCAATCCTCGGCCACAAACGTTGTTTTAAGTATTCCTTTTGAGACACTATCAAGTGGAGAGCCGTTTGTCCACACACATAAACTTTTTGTTGAACTCGCCCATGTGTAACTACGTCTTATATATGATGATACTGTGATATATGCGTTATTTACACAGTGTGAGGTCAAGATGGCTGGATATTAGCCAAGTTTCTTTGCGTTTTTTAGCTTGCATGAAAGGCGCTTTATGAGCCAAGCGAAGTCAAGGGTGCATTTCGCGCGAGGGCCACTCGCGCAATTTTCGCCTTGCTTGGCTCATATCGCGTCTGTCGTGTAGGCTACGCCTTTTTGGTCCGAAGCAAAGTCAAGGATAGTAGAAACGAGTGAGGAATGTAAATGAACGAAATCATCCTACAATCTTACCCAACAAGTTCAATAAACCGGCCCATAGGAAGCAAGCTTTTACTGCATGCATGGCCAAAGTGGGCTGTCAGGAATGGGCAAGCGCACACTAACATTAATCAGAACACGGGATTAGCTTCATCCTACCCGTTTGCGGAACAGGACATATTTTTTTGTTTGTTGGTGTATTTAAAGGTCCTTTCCGAATGGACAAGTTATAATCGACCTCAAGTGCGATCCATCAAAGAAAACACCTGAGGAGGCACTTTTCGTGTTTATCAGTGATACTAACGGCATTTGGGTAAGTGAAACTGGTACATAGCTATTAAATGAAATGTAAATACCAAAAATACACAGTACTTTTCTGTACTGTCCATGGCCGCTTTCTGGCGATTGCATCGAGGACTCCTTAAAGTGTTTCTGAACAGGACTGAAAAGCCATGGTGTGTTCCCGTCCACACCTCTTTTTTTTTAAATTTTTTGCTTTTTGGTTCACCATTCGTCCTGCCGGTGAAATGAACGTTCATGGAAGCCTTAGTTTCTTTACAAAACTCACTCAGGAAAGTAGGTTAGTTTTAGATTTTACTTGTGTGGAGGGATAAATGGAGTCTATTAACGAAACGACTACAACGCACTATCTCACGCGCAAGACACGACAAAAATTTCACATCGAGAACAGACCCATACCCATTGGAGTCAGCGTTATTTTTAGCTTTTTTAAATCCCTCGAGTTAAGCGGATGGCTTTGTGTAATATTCAAGCTGATCATGCCTCATAACTTGAGCCCACGCTCACTCTGGGATTTGAAGACTGGAAACGTTAAATGGACAAACAAGGAAACAATCGACAGGTTTGGGTAAGGCAAGGACGACTACTGAAGACATGTAATTAAAAGTCATTCTCGAGGTTGGAATTGGAATTGGAAACACCAAACGTTCTGGTTAGATTAATCTTCGATACTCAAATAAAGGTGAGCGTCGACGGTGCCGTAAGCGTCCTGCAAGCACTCAAGTCTATTTTTGTCTTTTTTCATTGGTAGAAATTTTTATTGACCAGCATTTGTTCATGTCCTGATGGTTGTCCAAGTGATTCAGACGACACAGGTACTTTATAAAATTCACATTGAAACCTACATAAGCAACACGATGAACAGTAAAACAGAAATTAAATCATTCAGTAGTCCTTACTAAGGCCTAAGTCAGAGGATGTCTGTAATACGCGTACCGGATACCTGCGGATGGCGAATGGAAAATTGCGGATAGAAAAAATGCAGATAAGACCAGCATCTTAATGCGGTGTAATTCAATAAGCATTCTGACGTTACTTTCCGGAGTTGTCGCTATTTTTTAAACATTACTTTATTCGAAATTTCATGGTTGTCATGCTAAGAGGGGGAGAAGAGCGTTGGTGCTTCAGAATTGCAAAACAAACGACAAACATTTTTAATATAAAATTACTTCTGACCTAGAGAGCTGATTTCTTTGCTTTCACTGGATATACATGTAGCAGGGAAAATATTCTCAGGAAAATCAAATCAAGACTTATTTGTTTGAGCGTGTTAAGACAGGAAAAAATTGCAGCATCAACAAGCAAAAGGCGGAACGTAATAACATAAACTTTACGATTGGCAGGTGCGAATCAATTCCGCCTATCGTTTGGATTTATTGCTAACAAGTTCTACCTTTTGGAAATTTATAAGTGAACGAATGAATGAGCTCGCATTTTTAAGACTGCAAAATACACTTAAGATGCAATTAAAAGAAAAAAAAACAGGCCTCTTGATCGATCGCTAAATCGAAAAGGTTCAAAAAAAGGCTACTTTCTGTTTCATTTGTTTTTGTTTTTAATTTTTCTCCAAGCAAAATAGTTTCCAAAACTATCATCCTCAGTGAGTTTTTAGAACGTCTGTATCGAGCAACTTACCTATCCGGTCTATCCTAGAAGCAGCAACACAACATACTTTAGAACAAAGATGTTTAATTATTACAAATCAGAAAAAAAACTAGGCTGTTTCTTAAGAAGCCTTTATAATTCTTTTTTAGCGATGTCTACAGCAGATCACTACTTTTTATTTGTTCATAGTAGCTCTGCGTAAAATTGTAGAAGTGGAACGAGGGCCAATAAAATGCCTCTGTTGCGGGTGAAGCATTCCGCATATTGCTTGAAAAAGAATCTCTGAACCCTGATTAAACAAGACTCACCCAAAACCCAGAGAAATTTTGTGAAACAGAAGACCATTAGTGTAACAGTAGCTTAGCTTTTGATATAAAAAAAACGGGCTTCTGCAGGTGTCTGCAGTTCAGAGTCACTCTCTGGACTGTATCCTACGGCTGCTAACGTAGAGTTGACCATAGTCCAGGCAGAAAGGAAGCGTCCCACGATTTAATGAATATTGATTTATATTGGGAGTCTTTTTCAAGATCAGGCTATATTGTGAGGAAACATGGCGATTTACGAGGCGAGAGCAAAATAGGCGAAACAATGCACGCCGATTTTTTGGCGCAGTTCACCCTATATTTTGGTTTATTTTGTTGTCTCTAGTTATATTTATTTAAGTAAATTTCGTCTTTGTTTGTAGTTGTTGTCCCAACAACTTTATACACGTGTTTTGCTCTCCGATGATAGACATCAAACTGTTTATAATCAGAATGTAAATATATAGCAGAGCCATAACAGAAAAAAAGTGTTTTAGCGTCACAATTTATGTATCCAAATTTGTGAGTTTTTTATGTTCTTGTTATCATGGTCCGCAATTTTTTCTATCCGCAGTTTTCCATCCGTATTTTTCCATCCGCATCCGCCATCCGCAGGTATCCGCGGTCCGCCTATTACAGACAACCTAGGCCAGACGTCAAACTTTTCATGAGACGAACCAAACTTAGTGAGCTTAGAGTCCCCAGGAGAAACGTCGATCTCCCTGACATGCGACGAACTTAACTAATAAATTAAAAACTTGTATGATAATGTTTATTACTGATTCAGTTGATTGGTTCGACCCGTCCTAAGTTCGACGTCTGACGGCCCAACAGACGACCTTAACTTAATTTCGGTCGACCCAAAGTAGAGTTTGGTTCTCGTAAAAAGTTCGACGTTTGGCCTAGGCATAAATAACCCTAACTTAGATTGTTTGCTCTCCCATTTCACCGGTTGTTACTCAAGGCAACTGTAGTTTCAAAGTTCGTCACATAAAAGTGTATACAACTGTATCAATGCATAATCCATTAAAAGAAATATCAAGTAATTCAAGCAAACGACGGTTGAAAAGCCTGTTGCATCCATGTTAATACTATTTTTGGGGGGTTATTTTCAGGTGGTGGTGTAAACAAGCTGGCTTACATCTTACCATTAGCTTTCGTAGGTATTGTGGTTATTGTCATTGTTCCAGCGCTTTACTACTACCGCAAACGCAGGACTGAAGGTCGGCGACCTGCTATTCTTCAAAATGAGGATGAGGACACTGGAGCATATGCACTTTCTTATGGTTCGAATGACCAAGAAGATACCAAAAATATTCAGGGGCACCCAGCGAGAACTTAGTTCAAAACCGCTAAAACATAGCATTGTTAAACGTATTTTGGTATTTAAACGGTAGATAGAGGCATATTTTTATCCCCTAAAAATTTTTCATCTGTTCGGATTTTCTAGCTGGAAGTCTAGTGATCCGAAAATTATAGGGATCAAAACTTACCTTTTCGAAAATTTCAGCCAGAAAAAAGGCTCCCGAAAATTCTAGGTGACCTTTTCAGGGTAAAAATCCGTTAAAAATAGGCAATTATACCATATTTTAGATGTTCGAAAATCCTAGAAGAAGCAGGCAAGCAAGAAATTTTACAACAAATGTTCCGAAAATTCTAGATCTCAAATCGTCGTCCGAACAGATATTTTTCCGAAAATTGTCGTTGGGTGCCCCTGAATATTGATACCACAGGAAACGGAAATAGAGACACCCAAGTTTTGTCGGCTTGACATGTGGAGCCTTTTTTGACTTTGCCCTTTTATAGTTTTTCCTTCATTAACCTTTAGCCTTTGTTAGCCCTGTATCTGTATTGGATACGAACTCAGTAGAGAGGGAAGTGTGTTTCTATAAATCAGTCTCTGGCCTCAAAGGTTGCGAACTTGTTTAGTTTTTGAAGACTTGTTGTCTACGTTTCCTATTGGGGGCGGAACATAAAAAGCCGTCATTTGCAAGGCTAACTTGTTGTGTCAGCTTAGCACGTGATGTAGTTTTATTGCGGCGCGACAATTGAGTTTATTTTTAAGAGCTAAATTGGACGAATTCGTCTTGGAAGCGCTAATAAAATAGCCTCAGCCAGAGTAACGCTATTACGGCGGCAATATCACGAAAAATTACTTCGATGTATGTACACACCAAAAGATGTCCTTGTTTTACAATATTAACTGCCTCAGTTTACTCTATATTGGCGGCCGTTATCAGATTGCCTCTTTTGGTATATCCAATGATATACATCATATATTATGAAATTCCTGTTGCCTGACAACATTGATAAAGCTTCAACGGCAAGAATTGCAACCTTTATTGCCCAAGACTCAACGATGTACATGCGTGTATCAGACCAAAAGATTAAAATGTAAGATTAACAAACGTTTGCTTATGCGTCTTTGCAAAGGAATCAGAGAAATTGTGTAGCATAGTGACTGGAATGATGTTCTAAGTTTAATTTCACCTTTTTCCAGTGCGACTATTGTAACTGGTGCCACGTAGACAAAGTTGACCAATTGGATTATAGGATAATAGCAATACATTCCAAGAATGTTGGTTGTGGGCCAATCAACAGCTGGTAAAACAACAAAAAGTTACTCGGAGCACAAAATTTAAATAATGATGGCAAACGTTTTTCAAGAAATTAAAAGGCTCACCAGACAATGTATTTCTATTCGAAACTTTACCTATAACGTCCAGTAAACATATTTGTTTGACTCAAGCTGTTATTTTGTGGCCCCGGTAATGGGAGTCGAATTGTAATTATAATTCTCGTTCTGATTAAACCTTGTCCTTGTTATTCAAATGTTGGATAGCACTCTCTGTGGATAAATCACTATTTTTATTCTCCTGTAAGCGACCACCTTTAACATCGCCAGAAACTTCGAATCGGCATGCGCAGTGAGAGATGACACTTTCAGACACTTAGAAAATATCAAGGCAATTTACATTACAGAGAAATGACCGAGAAAAGATCAAAAATCCGAAAAAAACCGTCCTAAAGGCATTTGTATTCGCCAACACCCTATCAATTCTCTTAGTATTTCTATTTAACTAAATGAATATGCATTCATACTTACCCTGCAAGTTTTATCCTTTTTAGTTTTAAATTAAACAGATTGGCAAATTAACTGTAAAGCATTTGTATGGCTGTCGGCGATAAAACGCTAAAAAGAGCCCAGTTAAAGTGTTCCAGTTCGCGTCCAAGGTCTTTGTTTTCAACGACCGCCGATCGGTTCTAGCTGGGAGTTGAAGATGCTTACTTTCAGGTGCATTTACGTTTCGCATGACTTTGCACTTGCCGATTAAAATTTCTTTCGGTTTTAACTCTGAAAACGCCGTACATTCCAGTACGGACTCCACGACTAAATTTCCTGATATTCGCTTTGCCATATCTCCGGGAAAAATCGTCCAAATTTCATGCAAAACCTCTTGTTCCAGAGATAATTTCGTGCATTTTGAAAACATTTCGTTTTCGTTCAGCGGCCATTTTGTGACTGTAAATCCTGTCTTGTATGTGTATCGTGACAATGAGCCCGTACAAGGCCGGATTCAACAGCGACTTAAGAGGCAGTCTCCCTAAAAGCGGTCCACTCGATTTCGCGACAAAAAATACTTTTCCTTTATTTTTTGTCGGTGAAGAGGCTTTAATAGGTGTATACTAAAATCGCTATTTTTGTTTTCAAATTCTTATTCTTAGCTCTGCTACAAGCCAAAAACGAATTGAGTCCGTCTCGGCTTCTCAGAGAGTGTTTCGAAGACTAAAATTGATGGATTTTGAAAAGCGCGTTGCAAACAACCGAATGCCCGCACAAAAAATCTGTTCGATTCAGTTTTTTTAGTTAACCTACGATAGTTCACAGGCTAAATAAAAATATCTTTGATCAAAACATGTTCAAGTCACAGTGGTTCAAAGAATACCTATTTTGCAGGCTTGATCGAAACCTTGAAAGTAAGGAAGATTTGAGGCAAAATATCTCAAAAGTTGCGGCCTAAATCTGGTTTAAAAATCATATCAAAGTAAAGTTTTAAGCTTATTTTTTTGGTTTATAGGCTCAGACTTGCGGGTATCTCCTGGGATTGCAACCAACAGTAGATTATAATCTGCCATTTTGCGTATTTGCATAATTACAGGCCGTGTCAGATGTCATGATTGTACAGGTTAAAAGTTCCATGAAATTGCCTCTTTTGACACTTGAATTGGTCTCTGGCCTCTAAAAGAAAGTAATTAAGCTTCTTTAAGTACTTTTGAATCGAAAGAGATATACTAACAGGGATGGTCATGCATGTTACTGATTACCACGATCAACCGATCAACTGGCGGGCGCCATCGTCTTGTAACTACCTGCACTGAACAGTAAACAATGTTTTTAATAGAATTCTCTGGATCAGAAGTTGATCCAAGCTCTCTAAGTAATGAAACTAAATATCACTACCCCGGGATACAAAACATGCACAAGAAAGGCAACGTAGAATTTTAAGTTCTTTCCGCAATTTCAGAGTGAATTTCACCGCGGTGCATATAAAAGTCCATGAATTATTGTAATAATCAGGCTGTTTAAAAACGTTTGACGCACAACAAAAGCAATTAGTCATTTACCGTTTTACCTGTTCTCGGTAAATAAGACGCTTACCTTTACTTTAGATTCTTGATGGAAGAAGTCTATCCAGGCAGCTGAAGTTAGGCAGTTTCGTTTCAAAATCAAATCATAGCGTGATAGTGTCACGTAATGTTATGGTCACGTGGCTACGTAACCCGTCGGCGGCCAAAATCTTTGTGATAAATGAAATTTCTGTTTCTCTCCAGAAAAAAAAGCCCTAATTGAATGAGTTTTTCCTTCTTAAATTGCACAAAATGCACCAAGGAATTTGTATTGGTAATGAATCATTTTCTACGGCATGGTACCACTGGCCTTATTAATCCTCGCCCAGGCGTTTTTTTTTTTTTTATATCGCGCGACCCGATGAGGATGGCAGGCAACCTCTCCCTTGGAATCACTTTTTGACTCCCCCCAACTCCCGGTCAATCGAAAGTTCAAATCGATCACACAGCAAAATACGCCTTGCAGGCTATATTGATCCCTACCTTTTAAACGTTTTCAAGAATCACGTTAGTATGCCAACGAGGTGTAAGGGTGGCTTTAGGTGCATTTTTTGAACCCTCTTTTATCCGTTCATTTCAAACCAGTTTCTTGTAATGACTATTTTGGCCTCTTATATGGTACAATTCTAACATTCACGTACAGTATAAAGAATTAGAGAGGTGACCTACCGACCCTTTTGCCCCAACCTGCCAGGTCGCTAATTGTAATTGTTGCACATGTGAATTCATTTCTTGGGCTTGGCAAAGCATAATTTTTAGAGCAAAATTTGATTCCTATTTTTCAAGTTTGTTGCTTGAAGAAGTGAAATCGCATGTGCAACAATTGAGATTAGGAACCTGGTGGGGTGGCCTGTGCTACCTGGTCTCTAATCCCTTATGCTGTCAACTTAGAATGTCCCATATAAGAGGCCAAAATAGTTAGTACGACAAAAACGTTTCCAAAGAACGGATGTAATAGTCTTTAAAAATGCACCTACAGGGAGTCTTGTAGTTTCCATGTAGAGTATTTTAATGTGACGTCTTGTTGACATCCGGGTTACGTGATTTTGACGTTCTAAAGGAGAGAGGTCTGGCCGGGGGTTTTTGGTTTTCAGGTATCTCGGCTAGATTTTGTTCAGGTTTACGGAATTTTAGTGCCAAATAAAATAAATAGATAAATGATCTTTGATTACAGGTTGACGGGGGAGTTGCCCAGGAAATTGGTGCAATGGACCTTGCGGCTATCTGCGTCGCTGTCTTACGTTCCGTCCTAGAGTACAATGTTGCGTGGCTTGATATAACGCCCTTCCTGCCCATCTGCCTAGTACAATAGAGCGGGTCCAAATGCGAGCTTTAAGGATAATGTACCTTCGGAAGCTTTACAATTTCCTAGAGTCGTTAGAGTTGAGGACAGGCGCAGTGGGCTCTGTATGAGCATTATAAACAAAGGCAGGACCTTGTCAGAACACATAGCCTGCGTAGCAGGCGCTTGGAAGTAGTGGGTGCAAGAAAGAACGGGCGCGCGAGAGAGAGACACGCGGAGACACCCGTTCTTTCTTGCGTTCACTACTTTCAAGGGCCTGCTACGTAGGCTAAGAACACTATAGAAATGGCGTCTCTGGGGGAGCATGCCGCCTTACCCCGCCCGTAGCGGCTCGCTCCTTGTCCTTGGACGCTGATACTATATTCTGGGATAAATAAAATAGGTTGGACGGTCTGTCTCAGTCCTGAAATACCTTATTTAGGTATATAGTATTCTTTTTCAAGGTAATTTCAGGCATTCGGTATCAAACGTTTTACAAATCTGTAGCTATATTGGTATCTTATGAGGACAAAAGCGGGTATATTGGTATCCCACCGTCCCCCACCCTCACCCCTCCTATGCGGGCCGGGCCTGAAAATATGGAAGGGCGGAGTCCATGCCGTGAAAATAATGGTTCACTACCAATACAAATTCCATGGTGTGATATGCATTTTGTGCAACTTAAGGAGGAAAAACTCACTCAATTATGGTTTTTTTTTTCGAGAGAGAGAAGCAGAAATTTCGTTATCACAAAGATTTTGGCCGCCGACGGGTTACGTAGCCACGTGACCATAACATTACGTGACACTATCACGCTATGATTTGATTTTGAAACGAAACTGCCTAACTTCAGCTGCCTGGATAGACTTCTTCCATCAAGAATCTAAAGTAAAGGTAAGCGTCTTATTTACCGAGAACAGGTAAAACGGTAAATGACTAATTGCTTTTGTTGTGCGTCAAACGTTTTTAAACAGCCTGATTATTACAATAATTCATGGACTTTTATATGCACCGCGGTGAAATTCACTCTGAAATTGCGGAAAGAACTTAAAATTCTACGTTGCCTTTCTTGTGCATGTTTTGTATCCCGGGGTAGTGATATTTAGTTTCATTACTTAGAGAGCTTGGATCAACTTCTGATCTAGAGAATTCTATTAAAAACATTGTTTACTGTTCAGTGCAGGTAGTTACAAGACGATGGCGCCCGCCAGTTGATCGTGGTAATCAGTAACATGCATGACCATCCCTGTTAGTATATCTCTTTCGATTCAAAAGTACTTAAAGAAGCTTAATTACTTTCTTTTAGAGGCCAGAGACCAATTCAAGTGTCAAAAGAGGCAATTTCATGGAACTTTTAACCTGTACAATCATGACATCTGACACGGCCTGTAATTATGCAAATACGCAAAATGGCAGATTATAATCTACTGTTGGTTGCAATCCCAGAAGATACCCGCAAGTCTGAGCCTATAAACCAAAAAAATAAGCTTAAAACTTTACTTTGATATGATTTTTAAACCAGATTTAGGCCGCAACTTTTGAGATATTTTGCCTCAAATCTTCCTTACTTTCAAGGTTTCGATCAAGCCTGCAAAATAGGTATTCTTTGAACCACTGTAACTTGAACACGTTTTGATCAAAGATATTTTTATTTAGCCTGTGAACTATCGAAGGTTAACTAAAAAAACTGAATCGAACAGATTTTTTGTGCGGGCATTCGGTTGTTTACAACGCGCTTTTCAAAATCCATCAATTTTAGTCTTCGAAACACTCTCTGAGAAGCCGAGACGGACTCAATTCGATTTTGGCTTGTAGCAGAGCTAAGAATAAGAATTTGAAAACGAAAATAGCGATTTTAGTATACACCTACTAAAGCCTCTTCATCGACAAAAAATAAAGGAAAAGTATTTTTTGTCGCGAAATCGAGTGGACCGCTTTTAGGGAGACTGCCTCTTAAGTTTATGTC